GGGGGGGCTCTTGTTTCCACAGTTTTAGTTTAGTTTTTTTCTTTTTCTTTTTCTTTTCAGAATGTTGGTGGGAGGGAGAGGGAAAGCAGAAAGGGCTGGAGGATAGAAAAGGAAGGCTGATTTTAAAGGCCTATATAGCTTTAGGAATTTTCATGATTATATTCCATCATGTAGTGCTGCAGAGATACTCAGAGAGTAAGGAAAATGCATAATGTAAACTAGGAGGAAGTAGTTTTTCAATATATGAAATAGGATTATCTTTATTAAATTTTTTATTGAAATAACACTATATATATTATTATGTAAGTTTCAGATGTGCATTAGTAAGAATCAGTATGTGTGTATACTATATTAAATTCCTAATTAAAAATACCATTCTATCCTTCACCGTACCATTAGTACACTATACCTTCACCTTTTCTTGGTTTAGCCAGCCCCATTCCCTAATGGGAGCTACATTCTACACTCCCAAAGTTTACTTTTATTTCATTTAGTTCATCTGTTTGTTTTCTGTAGGGAATTGTGCTTAGTAAACTTAGCGAGACATAAAAAGACAAACTGTATGATTTCACTTTTATGTAATATATATAAAGAATTTTTGATATTTTCAAAAATTGTTATTTTAACACCCTAGCAGTTTTAGGATCACTTCAGGAAAGTCTGTATTTCTGATTGTATCATACTGAGTAGTTTAATAATTACAAAAACAAGCCTTACCTATATAGGTTGCGTATCTTTTTTTTTTAATAATATGTTTATTTTTACATCATTTTGCGCATTTTTTCATCTCAGTTGTAGTCATCTTTTTGTTTCTTAAAGCCTGCTGGGTAAGAAGAATGCCATGGTCATAGGAGTTAGTTCTCAGATTTGGGCATCAGGAAGAATGGAATAAGAATGTCCTTTTTCAAGAAGCAGATGTTAAAGTGTAATTTTGAGTTCATACAAAAGCACATTTCTCAGATAGTTCTGCTTATAAATAACCACACACAGGAAATTTTCTTGTTTATAGAGCATGAGCTCTTAACTCTTAGAAATTCCTTTGCAAGATTTTTCAGTTTAGTTCTATATTTGATTTTTAAAAATAGCTTTAAAGACATATGTTTAAAATAACGATTAGAGTTAGGAATTGAACCTGTTACATATATATTTTTTTTAGATAGTTGACAGCATACTGAAAATCTGACAGTATATTGAAATGAAAATATTTTCATTGTGCAAAGTAATTTTTCATTGTGCAAAGTAAAATTTCATTGTACAGGATAATTTTTAGTTTTGAACTAAAGTTTCTGCTAAAATATTGAAAATTTCACTACAAAAATAAAATATTCAACTGAAGTAACCTTGAAAATGTGGGAATTGTAACATTACTCTTTTGTCTCAGTTAGGGTTATCATGTTGGTACAGCCCTAAGAATTTATACATAGTTTGTATATGCTTTTATTTTTAACAATATTAAATAGATTTTAATTTTTTTTTTAAAAATTGTATATACTTAGCAGGTGTATCAGGTATGACAAGTTGAAGCTATTTTATTTTGAATCATTCAGATTTCGCTCCACAGCTAAAAAGCTATAACGGAAAAGCATTATATAGGAGAGAGCATTTTTGTTCGCTTGGATACTATCTCTTCTAACTGTATGCTTTAGCAAGTGGCTAAACTCCTTTGTTCTTGTTTCCATATCAATGAAAGAGGGAGACTGCCATCTGCTCTTCCTGCCTTACTAAACTGTAGTTGAAGGGCATCATGTACATGGACTTCCTGTGTACAGTAGCAGTACCTGCGAGTTGTGAAATGGCATATTCGTATTATCTTTCCTGTATGCTGTTGGCTTTTGAGTGGCTTTAACATATTTTCATATTTGTGGGATAGATGAACTTATGTTTACTTTTAGTTTCACCAATTAATTAAAGTTGAAAGTATTGTTTCTTTTTTCATTTTTTTCCTTCAGGATTAACAATTGTGTTGGTGAAGATAACCATTGGCTTTTTCTGCAGTTGTGTTTCTACACTGAACTTCTTACTTGTTACGCGTTGATGTTTGCTTTCTGCCACTATTACTACTTTCTTCCACTAAAAAAGCGCAACTTGGTAAGAAGTGTTATATACACTATTGTTTGAGGCGTTATTAACGTAGAGTTATAGTTACCAACATAGAAATGATGTCTTTAAGTGAAGATCGAAAACAAACAAAAATCCCCAAATTGTTTCTTTATATAGTATATTAGAATTGTGAAAGTGGACCCTATTTTGACATTTCTTCTTACATTTATGATTGCTTATTAGTATTGAGAGATCTTTAAAAAACAACTTATTTCTTTCTCAGTATATGTCATTTGGTTTAAAAAATATCTACAATAACGGAAAACAAAGAAAAAAAATGTTAACTTATTTTCAGAACTAAAAATAGACAACTGTATTACTTGTTCTCAAAGGGCTATTTTTTTAAAAAAGGACTTTTTCCACAGGACTTTGAACAATGACAAAGGGGAATTTGTAGGATCCATTATTCAGTTATTATATATATTATTTGAGAAAATGCTTTTCCCATTTTGTCAAGGAACTACAATATATGCCCATAAGACTTGTTCGAAATGGTCACCATAGTGGTGGTATTGGTTGTGATAACAGTGACTGGGATTTTTAAGTAATTGATTGCACAATGGGTAGTGGATTTGAGCCTTAGTTTAATGATTTTTCCTCTATTTTTATAGATAAGGAGATAAGACTTATTTGAGGTAAAGTATGTTACTGAACTCACAAAGCCAGGAAGTGACTATTAATCTGGTTTTAGTTGTAAAACTGGGATTTGAATTTGAGCTTGTATTTTTGTATTTTCTGAATCTTGTATATTTTTTTTGTAGAGCTGGTGAGTGAGCCTGACCCTGTGTGTTATTTAAACTTTGTGTTTCTAAATATCTTCAGAGTGAAAGAAAGACAGTAAGAGAGAGA